AGTGCACTGTACTATGTAAAACAAAAATGCTATGCAACAACTCTATTTGTGTGTGTGTGTGTGTGTGTATATATATATATGAGCAGAAAAAAAAGTGATTCTAACAGGACTGTTTTGCATCGCAGGCCAACTACATAAAATTAGGGCAGCTGAAATGCAACTAAATAGATTTAAACTCACAGAGGAATTGAGAAAGAAGCTAAGGCTCACTGTGTTAGCTCGCCTGAAATCCAATGACAGGTCGAAACAAAACACCTCCACGTACAGCACTGCTCGTGCAATGACAAAAATCAGAATCGGTCTCACTTAGGGTACATTCAAGCACCCGGGGGCTCATTTCCTGGTGCCCCCAGAGATGAACACTGAGCAGGCAAATGTGAATTCGTAGCCGATGTGGAGCAGCACAGGGACGTCACACCGGAATTAACAACGTTGCCTAAATTCACACAATGTTGAGGCAAATTTGATTTCATTCCTACTCTCCAAGTATACTACTATTTATAAGGACAAAATCTTAGCAGTTGCAATGGAAAATTCGATAAATATGTTTCATAGACTTTTTCATTAACAAAATGCATAAATGGAAATCTTTTAGTCCATTAGGAAAAACATTTCTGCTCTAAAAATTCTTACAGGCTTTCCTCCCATTCTTGATGGCAAAGCAAACCAAAGGCACATAACTTCCTCTAGACATTGCATCAAAATTGTTTGCACCTAAAGCATTATCTGACTTCTTTAAATGGAAATTTACAGCAGACAGGCCTAAAAAATATTACATTTTTATTGTGAACTGAAGCTTCCTCTGTTACAGTCTTTCAGAATTGCTCTCCTTACCTTGTACCCTACTTTTATGCTTACAGAAGGAAAATGAGCAAGTGGAACACAAAAGGGACAAACTTGCAGCAGCTCGGCAGTCTCTCACATCTCATCTAAACCTCCCTACAATAGTATGGGTGGTGATGAATCACACACCTCAGCATCTACACTGAAATCATAACAAACAAATATCTGAGTCTCATAACAGTGTGCTCATCATCATCTACGAGAACACCACTGAAACTGGAAGGCCAAAGACTGGACTGATCACTAAATATTGACACATATTTTAAGCTATGCTTCTGTTATGGCAAAGTATAGATTTCATGACTGTATGTTTCTTGTCCTAACTCCAATACGGTACCCAGTATGTTAGCCACTGGTATATAAAATCCATTGTCTGCATCTTCTTCAAAGACAGTAACCTAAGTTCTGAAAAGGAGGAAACCAATGTTTACGGCCCATATCAAAGGGAAGACAAAAATCAGGAATAAAGACATTGTGGATCGATACTTAATGGGAGATTGTGACCATGCTCATATAAACCTTAGAAACATAACAGTCTTCCCATTTTAGCTAACTTTCTTGGCCAGAAAATAGTATTTCCGCATCTCTCTTTTGTCACGTCTCAGTCACAAAGATCATTGAAATGTGGATTTCTAAAAAAGCTTAAGAGAAACTGCAAGAGACAAAAATATTTCTATAGACTCTTGCTTACTGAACAGGAAATACTATTCATTGCCACGGCTGAGCAATAAACAAAGCCATAAGTATAATAAAAGTCTTTTAAGGACAGTTTGGAGAAGTAGTTTGAATGTATACTGTCATTCATTCAAAAGAACAAGCATGTTGCCTAGCCCAGGCTTTGAGAGAAGCACAGCACTTAAAATCCAGTAAAATCACCAGTGGATACTATGGAAAGACTGTGTGACATTTAGGGCAGAACTTGTTGGTCACAGGCAGCCCCTGTGAGGTTTGTGTAAGGTTTATCTCTGAGCAGACAACACAGCAACATCAGTCACCCTTGTTTAAGCTGCTTTCGGAGTCAGGTTCAACATGAACAGTTACCACAAGATAACGTTATAAACCAAACCGATTCTGCGATGAAGACAAGCCAAAAATGTGCGAGGAGGAAGAAAATTTGTAGGACAAAACATCATTTCTCTAGAAACAACTTACACAGGAAGTAACAGCATGCTCTTTGCCCCATTTTGGAGGGCGCTTGGAAAAAGACATCCAATCCAGTGAAAATAAAAGTCTCGGTGCACTTTTAGCATGATATCTCAAACAGTTTCTAACAGCGACAAAGTCATTACCTAGCTGTGCATTTCATTTGTATTTGATTGCTCCTGAACTGCTGGTTTTGGATGGAAAGGCACAAATGATTTAAAAGCTTAAAAAACTTCAAAGGAACATAGTCAAGGAGCATTGACTGCTCCCATCTACTGCACTGATTTGGCAACGGAGTGGACACTGGTAAATAGTTTGGTGAAAGACTCTCCGCTTAGAAACATTCTTTCGGTTTTCTAATATGTGATGGATTTATTTCTAAGAATTAATCCATATGCACTGAAAACACTAGGGAACTTTTGCGCTAGTGTGCTGCCTGCATCTTAAATTCTGTAGCTTTAGATGCCATAATAAAAACTAAAAGAGAATTCTAAAAGGTAACATAAATTTAAACTTACAATGAAGCATAATTACATCAGTAAATTAAGGGGAAAGTGTAAGAATCCACCAAAGCAGCTTTTCTAACTAAAAATCAGGTATCTTCTCCATTTAAAATATTGGCCTGCACCTTACGTCACTCTAGTGTTGATTCTACATTGATCATACAATTGTAGTTTTGTCCAGGACAACAGTCACCAATAGTAACATACAAAATACTTCCACCATTTCTGTGAAAAAAAGGCATCATCAAAATTTCACAAATAAAATGATATGAAAGGCAGTATTTTCAGCAATTTCTAGCAGTGGTGGGTGCTCATGTCTAATTGGTAACTATAGCCAGATTTTAAATAGTCAGTAGAATTTTTATATGAGAAACCAGTTGAACTCGTAAAAGACATTTTCTTATTAACTCCTATAGGCAGACAAGCAATTCTACACCACAGCTGAATTCATACTGATCTAACTTTGCCTATGGGAAATATTTTAAAAAAAGAGCAACGCACTCAAGATTACAGGACATATCAAGAAAATGGACTACAGTAAAGACTTCACTTTGGGGCTGCCTGTTCCTCAGCACCAAGCCCGGAGCTCCAGATTTAGTCCTTTATTGCATCAACGGCAAAACATGTGCATCGATAACATCCACTTCAGCTGCAAGCACTCAGTAACATCTGATGCAGATGGCATCGGGGCCTGGCCCAGGTTGGTACGATGCAGAAGGAAGCAGACGGACACGAGAGCTGAGCAGTAGAAGCACGTGTGGCAGTAGTAAAGGGAAATGAGAGAAGATGGCCCAGTGTCAGGACCTGCAGCCCTTCCTGGCCCATCTCTTTGCCTGAGCTGGGCCTTCTGCATCCAGCAGGAGTCACCTGATCCTTGTACAGATCTTTGCTCTGAAACATCTCTAATCCCATTTCTGTCCTCAGCCCAAGCCTATATTCAGAAAAATATGGGTCTGGAGGATCCAAGGCACCCAAGCTACTCAGATGTTTTTACTCTACGGTCTGACCGAAACCAGAAGAGCGGATATAGCCTAATAGCTTGATGATCTGTCACATTTGGCTTCAGAGGCCAAGCGCTTCCTTCAGAGGTGACAGCACACAGCCTTCCTCAAGTCGGCTGTTAGTCCCTACCACTAATTAACTGGCCTTCATGTACAGACAGAGCTTTTCATTTTAATCCTTCAGCAGACTAAACAGACATTAGTTCAAAGGACAGATCATTGAATGGAGGGCTGGGAGCTCTCCTACTGCAGAAATAAAATTGTCTAAATCCAGCAAGAGATTACTTTTGGTTTGCTCCCTGAAGACACTGACAACTGCCTGGTAAGAAACAACTTTGGTTGAGTCTATGAGAATTTATCTGGGTACGAGTTTTCTCCAAGAATGAGGGCATTTCCACTAACAGGCAGGAAAGGCTATTAAACACTCAACAAATGGGAAAGCAAGACTGGAAAACAGATGCTATGGAGAATGAAGAGCACCACTGGCCTTGCATTTTACACAGTCCTGCTAAAATAATTCAGGAAAAATAAAAATGACATAAATCTATCATCTCTAAATCAAGACTTCCAAAATCAATACTGCAGCTATCTTTCCACCCACTCATCTATACAACAATGCCTACCATTACGAAAACGAAGAAACCAGCTGAATGATAATTAATAGAAGATGATATTAAACATTTAGTGAACTCTCATAAGATTTTATTGGAAGGTTTTATTTGGATAGACTGTGAATAAAATCAGCTTTGAACTAGGCATAGCCTCACTAGTGAAAATGATAAGAGGTTATGATGGACAATTTTCTATCTGAAACTCATAATCATAATTTGAACATTAACAAAATGTATGTATACAGCAGCAGTTAGGACATCACAACCTCATTAAATACTTTAACGGTTTTCAGATACAAGTGCTCAGTCCACGGCGCTATAACAGTTGAATAGTGAAATATTTTGAGCAGCAATCTCTAAACATTTCTCTAGAACAGTAGTTGAGAGTTTGTTTCCAGCACATTTCCATCAATCCAATAAGTGGTTTGATATACAATCACAGGAAGAGAGGATAACAGAGAAAGTTAATTGCCACTTTGTTAATTGTTAGTTACTATTAGAATGTGTAGTCTACATATACATTCCCATTTCATGTACCCCAAAAATACATCTGTAGACCCAGTCACTTAAAACTTGAGAAATACTTGAAATACTTGACAAAGCAGTGTCTGCACTGTGTATGCTTAATTTCTGTCCTCCTGAAAGATAACTACAACCACCAGACCAGCTGAAGGGACTCTGACAGAAGAGGGAAAGAAGCATAAACACAGATATGCACCTTGAGGGTCACAAGCTCCTGGTAAGCACACTGCTTTTGTACTCTCAGACAACATCCCTCCCGAACTTTCTATCGCAGGTTTTTCCGAAGCAGGAACTCCACAGACTATCAGCTCTCAGTGCAATGTCGCTGCCAGCTGGGTGAATCTCAGAGCCTTTCATGCAAACCCCAACCATGGGGCTATTCCATGGGACGCTGAGAACACCGCAGGCTGGCCTTGCAGCACCACAGCTGGTACACTGGGATCCCAAAGAGGGTGTAAAAGCCGGTTTGAGGACATGATTGCAGAGCTTGGACTCCATCTTTTCATCTTGGTGAGGCTCAGTGTAAATCAGCAGAGGAGTCATGCCCAGAATCCTCACTGAAGTAAAAGAAAAGATTTGGCATCCAAGTCAATACACTTGGATGTAGCTATTGCACAGAAATGAAGGGTAGCCTTTGATTAACTACTGAAATTCCTAAGTGTGCAGTCTAGAACTCAACTAAGAAGGATACAAAATTATTCAAGCTACATGAATATCTCAGCTCTCTCTATTCTCTGCTGGTGTTCTACCCTAGTTGAGACACAGGGTAAATCAGCTAACCACTTTACTTACTGCTTGATGATAAATGGCATAAAAGAACAGAGTACGAAATTTAAGATCTGCAAGATCTATTTTACTATACCTGATTCAATTTATGGAGCTAATACCTTAATGCATATCTTACTATAATAACTGCTTGAAATAGCTTTGGTCTGATCACACTATTACAACAGTTGTATAAAGGTTGAGAACTTACTGTTTTCCTATGAATAGTCAAACAAAATGATGTATCAGCTAAGACTCGTACTTAAGATAATGCTTTAGTTTACAGAGAAGCGTACAGTATTGAATTACAGTGAATCACCTATGTGTCTTGGAGCCAATCCAACACTTCTTTTTATGAAAGCTGGAAAGCTTGAAAAATAATGTAAAAATATGGAAAAGAATTCTAAAACTGACCTTATTCTCATTTGCTTTTTTATTATCCCTGTTTATATGAGATATGAAAAAATCTCAACCACTGCCCTGTCTCTTCTTTTTAAGAGGCCTATGTATACGCCTCATTAAAATCTATGAATATCTAAAGTGGCATGGATAAAACAAAATGTTTGTGACTGAGGCATGATAGCTTAAACTACCTTAAACTGTCTAGAGGTCTCCTCCAACTGCCTGAAATACACAGATTTGTATACTCTATGAACACAGAATAAATAGCTGCAGCAGGAAATAAGTCTGACCAGCATTTCACTCTGAAAGAAGCGGGATTCTCCTTGCCATCTGCAAGAGAGTCCTGTGAGGGATTAAGATCTAAAAAGAAGAACATATATTCTGTAAATTACTTGCTATTACCTCCAAGTTTATTACCATTTTGTTATAGATGAACACCCACAACTAGATCTCCCACTCCCCTCAACCCCAAGAAAACATACTAAAGGAGGGATGGGGGGTGAGGTGGGCAAGCACTCAAAGGCATTAAAAAAAGCAAACAAACACACAAAGGTGTGGTTTTTTCTGCGTTAAGATTTTCTTCCTCTGAAGATTCTACCCAGTACTCTAATGTTACTCAACCTCCTTAGTTCCACACTATTCATAACTCTGTGGTATGAATGAAATGGCTAATATGATTATTCTACACAACCTTAACATAAAATTTTATGTGCAGTTAAGACATTTTAAGTTAAGGCATCAATTTATACTCCTGTTCTCAACAAGCTTACTTAAAAGCATAGGAAAAAAAACCAAATTAATTCACAGCTCTACTTTATTAATACTTAAGGCCTCACAATTACCTGATTTTGCTGCTCCATCCAGTGGAAAGTGCCAAACAGCATGATCCACTGATGGCAAAAGTCTCTGTTGAACAGGTGGTCTTTCAAAAAAATTAACTACTTTAAATCCAGCTACTTATTTAAGTTTACATTAGTTTTCTACCAGTGCAAACTGTAACACGATACCCTTTGTAAGAACTGGTGCACAAAATACTCTTGAATGTTAAATGATGAAGGCAAACCTGCATAAGAATGAGAACGTTCTGAAACTTGGCAAAATTCAACGAAGATTTATCACAATTTTAAAATAGTGAATTCTCGGGTTTTCTGAAAACTTTTCTTCTCTTATTAATTAGAATACGATATAATTGAATGCTAGGTACAATGCATGACATTCATTTCACCACTATCAATAAAGCAAGAAATAAACTTTAAGATAAACTGAAAATAAATAATCCAGGTCCTGAGCTCATGATTTAACTGAGTTATCTTGATTTGAATAATAAAAGCTTATTTACATTATCCCCAGGAAAGCACACTTTACTGCTGGGGGAAGGGAAATCACAGAATGCGTTGGGTTGGAAGGGACCTTTAAAGGTCATCTAGCCCAAACCCCTGCAGTGAGCTCTTTAATGTTCCAAACCATCGGTCAGTAGTCACTTACTGCCTCCTTAAACAGCACTCATGCTTGGTCCAGTAGATAAAATTTTTAGTAATCAATCAAGCAGTAAAGTCACACTTATTAACAGTTTCCTGAATGTACTGAATATAAAAAGGCACTGACCTACCACACCTTTCCGACTTTTTTTCCGATGACATTAACTGTATCTTTGCACGAAAAACCCCAATGCAAGTTTGAGAACCTTTCAATAGAACCAAAGTGACCGAGTCTTTTCCATTCATCGTTCTTCTGTCGTCACCCATTGAGCAGAAACAGAACTTTAACTGAAAATCAACCCCCGCACCTATATCCAACAGCAGCCTCTTTCAGTCCTCAAAGGCCTGCCAGAATGTACAACCCTTTCCAATCCTGAGTTTTTACATCAGTTTGAAACATTGCAATTCAAGTCTGAGTGTACTGCTTCTCACACCAAAGACTTTTACACTTTGCATCTATGTAAAAGTTACTGAATACTGAGGCTAAATGAAAACAAGCTCACTTTGCCACTTCTTTTCCAGGAAAAATGTAAAGTTTTCTGTCAATGGGCTTTCAAACAAACACAGGCTACAGACTATCAGTAACAATTCACAAAAATCTGTCGAGTCATACCCTGCTCCATCCTCCCCTCCTCCCCCAATCACACTGCGGGGAGCTAAAATTCTTCTCATTTAAGTGATTTCCTTTTCAGGCAGCTGCTGTGGTTGCCACAGGTATGTTACAGTACGTCAGATACATGACGCAAGACAGGCTGTCTTCAAAAAAAATAAAAAAATAAAAAAAATTAAGCTATCCTACACTCATACTAAACTTGAAATATTTACCTACATTAAACACCACACAATACTGATACTGTTAGTTTATTCCAACTTACCATTGAAAGGCATTGTAATGGAAGTAGACCAAACCAAGGCCATATAAAAAGGCAGCATTCTGTAAAAGAAAAGGAAACAATGTTTAAAACCCAGATAAGACAACCATATGCTGTAAGATCAAATTTCCAGTATTTTATTCACCCTTTGACATTCTATTTCCATTGTAAGACAAGCATAATTAAATTTCACCTTGAAAAGGAAGAACCAAAAAGAAATGCAAAGACAGACTGATATTAAGGGAAAAAATCCCACAAGTGATTGTCCACAAAATATTTTTGGAGGAAGAGTAACAACAATAATATTCCAGTCACTTTACATCAGAGAAACTGACATACTTTGTTCTACTTGTATAAGAGCAGGGAAAGAAATGACAGAGGAGAGGTTTTTGGCAATGTAATAAAATGTGGTTTATGACCCAATACCATTTCACAGTCATAATAATATATACTTACACAAAAGTAAAAAAAGCTACACACTCTAATTTCAGTGTTAGATATAGAATATTAATTATATGAATCTGGAAATATGTTTAAGGAAATTTCACTTTTCTGAATACCAAAGACACAGACCATCGGCTTCAAACCTAAATCAATCACATTCTTCATTGTTCATCAAATCTCTATTTTCTACTTCCCTACCTTTTGAAATGAGGAAAAAAAGGCCAAAAAAAACCCCAACAAAATACCCTCTAAAATAAAAGAACCATTCTCCTCTGGAAACCCATTCTCCTCTATTTTCTTCTCACAGTAAAATATTATTTGTTTCTAAAGTGACATTATTAAGAAGGTTTAATGCATGTTTAACTATCCAATTCTATAAATAATTACTACATATTTTCTAAATAAAAAAACCTAATTTTTTTTTCCTTTTTAGAAGTTACGCCACAGCATAGTTGCTTTCTATTTAGCAGAGCTATTCTATTATTTATAGGAGACAATATGTAGATGCTGCACACAACATTATTTTAAGGCTTTTCTTGTATATAATTCTAGTTTTGAGAGACCAAGAGTACATCCAAAGGAATAAAAAGCTCTGACACATGGACAAGAGACAGAATTTCCATTGTCAATGACTGTAGTTCAAGACTACCCCCATTCCACCTGCACACACTTCTTCAACAAGCCGAATTTCTACAGAATTCCACAAAGGTAATCCTAGTTATACCTTAAACTAAATCCAAATACAACTGGTTTAACCAAAATTCTCCTAGAAAACAACTGGTAACCAGAACACAATTCCAAGAGTAGACTTCATGAGAAACAGGGCCCAATGTTATGATTTCATTAAACCTCATTTGCATCTTCTAAATGCAAATTAAAACCAGGGGAAATGCCAAAGATCCTTTTATGAATACAGCTGGAACATAGCGCCAGCAATGGACAGCTTCCAAGAAACTGCTGTTGAATGACCAGATACTATGGCAATCAGAGCACTGGAAGATGTTAACTGAGGGAGTGGAGAGGGAAATACATAAACATTAAAAGATGACACTTCAATACTATCATAAAACTATGTTCCTGTTTAACCGAACAAAAACACAATATGGTCATAGTAAAGATAAAAAATCTTTAATTCCCTACCCCATATATTTCCTGCTTTCCAAGCGTGCTCTGGCAACAAGAGACTAGGGAAGAAGGGAAGCTCAAAAACTGATCATACATAAGGCCTTGATTCAAAAGTCATCTTAAATGAAGAAGTGAGAAAGAAAGATTTTCATGTGTGCAGTGTGGAAGGGTACAAAATACAGTGCACGCCCAATAACCTTTGCTGAGTTCGGGTCAGGCTCATTTGTACAACACAAGTTAACAAAACTGTTCAGTGTTAAATCAGAGATCCACCAGCTGCAGCATATGCTTGATCATTGTAAAGATTGAGAATAATAGTAAAAAAAAAAGTGCTTCATCACCACACTGCAAAATTCAAGAAAAAATATGCCAGACAACTAAAACCTCTTCAATCTTCAAAGCATTTAATTTCCTCTTCTGAAACCTGTGAGAGTTCACACTCAAAACAAGTTACAGATTCGGAAGATTAATGTAGCTGATACTTTGATCTTAAGGGTTAATAATAATCAACTTTCAAGGCACCAGAGAACCAAAATGCAGATGATTTGTCCAAATGTAATTAATATAGCAAGTCTGCATTATGGTTTCAGGTTGTCCCTACTTCAGTTAAATATGATTCAACCGCTACTGCTCTGTCCTTCATTCCGTGACTAGTTTTCCGATTTTCCTCTCATTGTTATTTGGCCTTAATAAACCATTTGAGAGTGACCTTAAAAATGTGTTAAGCTGCCACTCTCTTCTCAACAAAAAAACTGTGCAATACTTCAAATGTAAAAGTGCAGATTCTGAAATGTCACTATGGACTATATTTATCTGTTACTTTTACTTTTATTTGGATAAAGTTTATCACAAAAAAATATGCATCCCATATTTTCCAGCAAAGATTACTTTTCTCATTTAATTTACCATTCAGAATCCTGCTATAAACAGCTGGTGACACAGAACAAAAGCCCACTGTTTTCCCTCCAAACAATTTTTAAGAAAGAAGTATAAATCAAAATTATCTTACTACAATTCTTTCCTTGAATTTCTTAATAACCCTCACAATTTCTGAAGGTCTCATGCTAACAAAACTCATTCTTTGGTTACTACCTTCTAATGTAATTTTTATGTTATCATATCTCTCTTTTTTTCACGATATGCAGTAAATTGGAAAAAGGCGCAAACAGAAACAGACTGTACTTCAAATTTGAAGTTGAGTGCCTGGATTTTTTCACTCTAGAGCCTTGCTGTTAAAAAGCAGACAAGCCAGAAATGCTATTTGCAAGCTAACGTCACTTATCTTTACTACAAAGTATGACAAAATATTAAAATATTTTAGAACAACCACTAGATGGCTCAAATACTTCTTTCCATTTTACATGCTTATGCAATTTAAGAATGTTGTCAAGTTTACATTTTGTATTCTGCTACTTACAGGCACTGCTCAATGCTGAGCAACATTTCAACTGTATTTTACAAAATGTGTAAGTCACAGTATTGTATTGATGGGTAACTAAAAGGCAAAAATTTTTATGTATGTACCTTTCTATGTAACTGTCGCAAACAATCATGCTGAAGACTTTTTGGTCTTGTTCATTTTAAGCGATCAAGTGGGGAAAAAAAAATAGCCAGTGAGGACAACACCATCCAACTCCCAGACCTTCTGTCCTAATCCAGTTAACTGGTTTATAGTCTCTTTGAAGCAGCAGATGGAAACAGATCCCCAACATTTCACATGCTCTGTTCTCCAGCCATTTCAGGCCAAGTTCACAACAAAACCTTTTCCTCCGTCTTCAAGCATGCAGCCACTGCTTCTGATGGAAAGACACAGACTAGACCATCACAGCTACACTTCAGCTGTAGAAACAGGGTCAGAAAAATGCATACGTCCTGTGTAACAAGGGGCCACGCTCACTGAGACTTACAGACAGTCTTCTTAGACTGACTCTAGAAATGTACAGCTTACCACATTGGGGTCCAGATAATTTTCACCAGTAACATGCTTATCTCCCACAAGCAGTTGGGGACCTTGGTATTGACTCCAAATTTGTGTTTTGTAAACATGGGTATACATGACGAAGTTACGCTTGCAAATGAGTATCTGTCCGGCAGGCACTTGCAGATAGCTGGAGAACAGAAGATGCTCAAGAGTCAAAGCAAACTCAGGACAGCATCCACCTGGGACCTTGCAACTTAAAAATTAAAAGGAATAGTTCTTGCCAGGGTTTCGTAGCCTTGCTGATTCAGAAACATTCCCTAACATTGCCCCTCGTTTTTGCTGATACAATCATTTGTAGAGTACTACAGACAACTGGGTGCCAGAACTGATTCGAGTTATTAATATCCAGATAAAAAAAGGATTATTTTAACTGGATCAGTTTCCCAGCCAAGTTCACTGTGTACCTCGCCCATAAACAACTGCATTAGCACAAGTGAGAGACTGGAATGTAAGCAAAAGTAAAAGCTCATTAAGCCTATGCTGCTACCAACAACGTGCATATGAAGCCTACAACCACTTCTCAAACTGAGTGAAATCCTAGACAAAAGATTAAAACAGGTAACCTAAGTTAAAAAAAAAAAGAAAAAGAAAGCAAGACTTTATTACCTCCTAAGCCACATATAAATGTTTGACATGAGAGAAATTAACTTATATGGGTCAGTAAATGATGGATAAAAATGTGAAATAACATTGCAGCCTGCCTGTCAGCCTTCTCCATGCAGGTCCTTAACCAGCGAGATTAATAAGCAAATACACTATTTCTTATTTATGACTCTAAGGGACAGGGCCAGACGTGGGTAAAATAATCCCTTTATTTCGTTAAAAAGTTGATCAATGTTTAGACAGAAATCAGAGTGTATCCCACCATACTATGAAATAATGAAAACAAAACAGGAGGCAAAGCCTCCATGCAATTGGCTGGTGGAGGTCTGAAGGAGACCTACGGAAAAAAGATGAAATTCAGTACCCTTGTGAGACCAGCAACTGTTTTTCATTTGCTTACTACCGCCAGGCATCAAAATTCTTTGAAGACATATTAAAATTGCTTCCAGCAGGACTCTGAACACCTCTTCCACAGCTGCCCAAGTTATAGCAGAACCTAGAGCCTGGCCCATGTCAAACCAGGCTGCAGCAGACACATGTGGGCAGGGGGCCACTGCTCTTCACAAAACCTAGCCTGGAAAAAGTTTTACAATTTATGTCACATCCTGTGGTCACGGGGTCTCTCAGCCACCTGTCTGAGGCAAAAGAACAGTGTGTTCAAACGTGTGAATTTGTTTGTTTCTTTACTGAAAAAAAAAAGAAGAAAGATGAAGTTTTGACACTTTGGTGTCTAATACTTCCTCCTGACACTACTCAATATATAATAACAGTTCCCTGGAGAATGTGTACCACATAAAAAATCCCACTCAGGCTCTTGTGTATAAACAGCTATATGCCTTTGGGAGCTGATAAGCTCAAGCAGTTCCAGTCAGAAAGATGGTAAGTGTTCAGGAGAAAGAGGGGAGGATT